GGGTGGTAACTTCTAAGTATAAATTCCGGAATATGTCCCAAGCCGTTTCGATTGATGACTCTGGGTCTAATTTCCAATCTACTAATGATGCTGATTTCATGATGTCTGGTATGTTTGCTTTCCAGACGTTAGGTCTGGATTGAGCTGAGGCGTGCCCTTGATCGATAGTTTTCTGGAAGTCAAAGCTTGAAACTGCATGATCACTTTTGCCTAGGGGTGGCATGTAGTCCAGGTTTGCAACGTCATCCTCATAATGAGTCAATATAAGATCTAGTAAGGATGATGCAGAACCCGGGTCGTACCTAGTTGCTTCCTTCACGTGTTGCACAAGGGCACATGTGATTACCGCATCAACTAGTTCCTGTTCGAAGGAATTTGCTGACGATTCAGTCCTTAGATTTCCCCAGTCTACCATGGGTGCATTAAAGTCCCCTAGGATTAGACATCGATCACTTCGTGATAAAGTGTTGAGACTGCTTAGTAGAACCTGGTTTGCCTCACAGCTTAAAATGCGATAGATCAAACTAAGCAGCAACTCTTGTCCCTTGCATTTCAGGCGGCAGCAAACTAATTCATACGTCCCACTCTCATGGGATACACTGTCGATAATGGTGAATGGAATAGCATTCCTAATGAATAGAGCTACTCCCCCTCCTTTACGCGTTTGTATTCTATCGGCCCTTACTAATGTAAAACCCTCGAAATCAAGTTCCCTACTATCTATAGACGGCGTCAGCCATGTTTCTGTGACTGCGATTATGTCTGGTCTAGTTGAGTCAATCTGTACACCTAGTTCCGGTAGCTTATTAAGTTAGCTCCGGGCATTGCTATAACAGATCCGAAGCCTATTTCGGTGGCCTCGTGCTTCACCCAGAGTGGCTTCGGCATCATCCTCTGCCGAAGGCTCACAACCCGAAAATTTACAATTTTCAGGTCTTTTTCGCCAGCGTCTAATCTGAGCTGTAGTTTTTTTTCAGCTTCCCGTCTTTTTACACCGTCCGCCAACGGTAAGTCTTTACGGAGAAAAACTCCTGAACCCTTTGTGTCCATTTTCTAAGATTAAGTCGCGTTCGTTCGGGGATTTGAAAACGACTTTGAGTAGTTTGGACTGATTTGGCTTCAGATGCACTAGGTTTCCTAGTCTATACACCTTTAGCAAGGTGACTCCGGGGATGTTTTTAGGCATAACTTGGTTGAGTAGCTGTTTTATCAACACAATGTCATGCTCAAAACGAGCTTTCGGTTCTAAGCTGTCACTCTCCTTGACTCTATGGAAAATAACTGATCTGTCGTTGTGATCAGACCTCGGCTTGTCGACCCTTTTGGTGGGGGTATGATTTCCTTTTACGTCATTTTGGCGTTTTTTTCTTACGACCCGTACCCAACCGCCAACGTTCTTTGGAGTGGTAACCACAGTCGTGTCAGTCGTACTGTGGGATTCCGGAAGATTCAGGCCGACTTGGGAGGTTGGGTCATCTTTCGCGCTGGAAACCGATCGAGCCTTGCGATTTTGTGTTCCGGATGTTCCCTTCTGGGTACCATTTTTGATACGAGGGACAGAAGAGACTTTTTGCGTAAGTTTCTGGTTGTGACAGACCTCTTTGGAGGATGTTCTTCCTCCATTGTAGAGTGTGGGTCGGCATTTTTTGGACTCACTTGGGCCTGCCTTGTGTCAGTCTGCGTGTCTACAGATTGAGTTCTGACTGATGTATCCCGACCGCGCTTGCCAAGACACTTTTTTGCGGCATTTACTATTGAGATGGCCTCGGTTAATAGGCTATTTGCATCCAAACAGCACTGCTGAAATAGCCAGATGCATCCATTTTTACTGAACTGCTTGAAAGCTGCAGGTGTTAGATTCGTGCAAACTTCGTGGTACCAACCTTTGCACTCATCGCACTGCATGCCGCTGTCAACGGGATATCGACATCCTGGGCGGTGGCAAATGCTTTTGTTGCATCTTCCAGTCATTTTAGGATGCGAAGGTGAGTTTTGACTAAAAGTAGAAAAAGCTATAAATAGTTAGGACCAAAGTACTGACAGATACAATAGAAAAACAAGGTACTCTGGAGTACAGACGATAAAACTATTTAGGATACCAAAAATGATACTCTAGTCGAATACTTTAACTGAAAGAAGTTCAATCAAAGTATAAAACAGTAGTCTTGATACGTTAATAACGATCAAAACAGTAGAATTTACTCAACGAGGAAAAATATCACTGTTCTTTTTAAATAGCAAGTGAAGTGACACTTTTTGAATATTCGCCTGACTGAAAATTATACACTTAAGGAATCATCCAAATCACTCCGTTGAGGCAACGCAATATGAATTTATTTTTGATCTTGTGACTCATCAGGTTTTTGTTTTTCGTTTCTGACCGCGGGTGACCTTTAAATGATGCGTTACTTCGACTTGAAGCTTAGTAACGGTAACTACCATATTCTTGCTACAAACCGTCTGAAGATTTTGATGCTTTTAGAATGGAGCGTTATTTGAACGTACTTCGATGTCTTGTGCTTTTCTGGCACCTTCGATTCCATGATCTATCTGTTTTTACATTCTCAAAGTGTTGCTCAAAATTGCATCTAAGATTGTATTTTTCCAAATAAGAGAGAAATACCGTATTAATTCTGAAAAAGCAGTGCAATACTGAATTTTAAAGAGAGAATAATGAGTCGGTTCATTTGCGTAGCAGTAATTAACTTTGAACTATTTTATTTGAAGTTTCAGCTATGATCATCAAGTAACCTATGAAATATATAAACAGTTAAAGACCAATAGAAAGTGGTTCAAAAGAAACGGGAAGAGGCTTCATCGAGTATAAATTTGGGCATTTTACTATGAATCATACTGTATGAGGTTTAGTGATATTTCAAAACCTATCAAGCTACAGAGGAATTCAAACCCATAGCTTGTCAGTTCAAAGGTGAATGCCTTTACTTTTAAATCACTGCTTTGCCAGTAGTGCGAATTCGTCGGAGTTAGATTTTAGTTGTTTCATGGAAACGTCCTACTTACAATTGAGAACTTCAGTGTAGTCACCACTGACATGTTTTCCCTTCCATATCTAGTAAAACGTCAAGCCAGTGAGTTGGATTATCTTTATAATCTTGTGCCTTTGGTCACAATATATTATCAGTTAGTAAAACTATCCATTTCTAGACTCTCTATCATAAACAGACCACCTTTTTGAATTCAATGTCAATCCCCAGCATCTTATAAGAATGCTGGACAGGAAATTCGCCTGAAATGCAGATACATTTTCTCTTAAGCCTAAGAATTCGATTGTCTAAAGTGTATTACTAGATACTTATTCAAGCTGTGGACAACCATTCTTCAAACCTCAGCATTAATTAGTCAACACTGAATATGAGCACTATTGTGGAAACAACTCCATGTGTAATTTGCTAGTTCTCAAATATGCTCATTTCAGTGAAACCATGTTCGGTAAGAGTAAAGCAGAACCTGGGCCACAAAATTGTGTTCCTGCCTTTTTATTAACCACACACCATGACGGCACCTGACAGAAATCCATCTGTTTCACTCTACTTAAATCGATCTCAGGAGCTTCCGTGTTCACAGCTTCGCAAGCATGATAACTTCCGGAATGCCCGCTATAGCTTAGCTCCAAGATTAACTGAGATAGTTACAGTAATTTGGAACTGATGAAGGCTTACATTTTTACTTGTTGTTGGCATCGCTTATTGCATGTAATATGCATTGACTTTGTGCAGGTGTTCATGAAATTGTAGAAACTTATTCCATCTGACCGTTTGAACACGTACAGTATTTGTATAGTCGTATTTAAATAGTGGCACTTCCTTGGAGCTATCACAGATTTCTTTATCTTTCGTGTTTTTTAACCTAGCTTTCAGAAATACCATGTTGGGACGTGAATTTTTCAGGTTGTTTCTCCGTCCATTACTTTATCGCATATCACGAAAATATGGAACACTCAGTATGACAACCTGTTGCTTTATGTATCCGATAAAATTGTCTCATATTTCTACTGAAACTATTATGTCAACTAATCAGTACATTGAATATCCCTTATTATCTTCATTACAATTACAAATAGACTCTACAATTAGTTTTATGAATCAACTTCTTAGAGAATACCATACAATTCTTATTAATTTAGAACACATTGCTATTCAATATAGTGAATTACAATTATCTTATATGAATTCAGATGAGGGAAATGATGAATTATTATTAGAACTACGTTCACAATGGTCTACACTTACGCACAAACTTGATAATATCGAAATAACCATACGTTCTGCTGTAAATACTCTACAAAATTCATTAGAAACTGCATTTTTGTACGAAGAATATATTAAAACAACACCTACTAAACACAATCATTTACTCAATGAAACTTTGATATCACAAGCTGGATTAGCTTTTCATACAATAGAAAAAAAAATTGATGATCTTAAAAACAAACGAAAAGATATTGTTACATTATGGTCAACCCAGATAGCTGAGAATATTAGACGGTCTGGTAATTCGTAAATAATCTTTATTTCCATTAATTCAAACTCCCTTTGTATATTCAAAAACAGTTATTTCTCACCTTAAACCTACCCTGGTGAAATTAGATTATTATCCAGAGTGATTAAATTTCAAATTGTTTCCACATTATTTTGTTATTATTATCCTTGTCTCCTCTAACCCCCCGTTTCCAGTATACTTGACCTTTTATTTTTATATATAAATGTTCTTAAGCATATGTGTGATCAGATTGTTTGAGATGTATTGCTCTAATATTATTATCACATAGTTCTGATAATCTACGTCACTTCTTATTGCGCTATCATAATTTATTTTTGTTTAATTATTTTATAGAAATAAAAAAAAATGGACTAAATATACTTCTTTCTTTCTTTACTGATTCCTCATAATGGGTGTGAATTATTTTAAACACTGTGTTGATAATTCCTTGAAAAAGCTTGGACCAGATTGCTAGGCGAAACGTTGGATTTAATTTAAAAAATTCATTCGCTGAGATTTTACAAATATATTATTCCTATTTAATGTCTGTGCTGTTTAGTTATTACACTTTTGTTTGAACTTTAATAGTTGTGATTAGTTAAAAGTTGTGGGTTGCTAATGTTACACTCTCAATCTAAGTATCCATTTTGTGGACAAAAATCACCCTCGCAATAGAATGTTCTAAGGCCCGCTTCAGCTATTTTTGATTGGGTGTTCAACCAGTGAGTGGTTCTGTATACAAAGGATTTTTTATAATTATTTTATTTTATTTAAACACAAATATTGGTACTAAGGGGCACCAGATACATATGCGCCACACAAATTTCATTTGATTTGTGTGAGGGCTGTGATACTGTCCAGGTGCCCAAACTGAAGCAGGTGGTTTTCTTAGGGGGCCACACCCGGAGCCTTTGACCTGAAGGTCTAGTCCACAAGGCAGTGGAGCATCCGTGAGGAGATGCAGTCCCATGGTAGCCGGTGACCCACAATTGGTTCATACGCCATATGTTCCTTCAGGATACTGGGGCCCATGTGCACCATTGGTTTGGAGTGAGGGTTTTCCAACTCTCCTAGGTGGACTTTCCGTGACCACGACCCGGTTGAAGCTCCGAACATTCGCTTTTCGTCCTCTTACTTTCTTAAACAACACCGGTGCCACGAGAAGGCACTGAGTATGACTTCCGTGACAGAGGCTATACACGCGTGGATATGTGAGTATTTCGAGGGGAAGAGCTGACTCTCCCCACTGTCGGCCGTACCTGGGCATTTGGTTGTTTTATAATTATTGAAATCTCGTTACTAAATTCTAGTTTTGAACAATGCTTTCTGTAGATCTTTTGGTGTGAATATTACACTTAAAATCTATTGTGATAATCTTATAATTTTTCTCTTTTGAACATAATGGTGTTACAAAAATAGTATGATTCCTAAGATGGCGATCATTTGTTCAGTGTTCGTAATAATTCTCACAGTTTGTTCAGTTTAGGCTTCTTTTTGTCTACTTATTATTAGATTTCTATGATACAACTCGAAGCACTACCAAAGACACAACAAAATCATCTTCAATGGGATGAAAGTATTTTGAACAAAATTAAATCTAGTGTTGATGGTTTATTTGAGTTGAAAATTAAATTTTTGAATGAATGGGCTGATAAATTTGGTATGTTAGACGATTCAGCAAGTGAAGTTTGGATGAAAGCTGATAATATTCATTCAATGATTATGGAGTCTTGCGAACTGAATAAAAATAAGAATGAAATAATGCAATCAAAATTCGAAGACACAGTATCCATATTGAAAGAATATGAGTCAGCTTTTATGCATGCACCTGTACTAGACAAGGCAGAATTCTGTTATCAGTACGGTAAAGTGAGTTTGTGTCGTAAATGATGTGATAATGTTCTTTCAATGATGACAATCTATTCTATAAAACTCATAAAATCGTTATATCGAGGCAATCCACACATACATATGTGACCACGTAGATTGGTCTAAATTCAGTCCTGAATATCGGCAACGGGATAATTTAAACCCTTAGTAATAATGACATTAAAATCATACCCGTTGAACAAGTTGGTTGTTGTTTTGGTTCACTAGCTCAATGGATAACGTGTTAGGCGTTTAAATTGAAAGATGTTGGGTTTGAGTCCCCACGTAAATATTGACACTGGGATATGGCTGGTACATTCAGCTATGATGATTCCATATCAGATAAAACACGCGTCTTTAATCCCACCGCTAACCACAATTCATCTATTCTATGAAGCTAGATAGGATAAATAAAATATAAGTGCACACGTTTATTGGATTTAATAAAAAAAGGCGAAGGAAGGGCAATGCCATCAAAAGAAGTATTGACTATAACCTAAAGTAACATACTGAGGATTGTGTCAAGCATTCTTAAATATATGTGCACTAAACTCACGGAAGTGTCAGGTTAATTATTCCATATATATATGGTTATGCGAATGAATCTATTTTTCTTATAAGGAAAACTGTAAAACTTCCGGTATCAATTGTGAAGGTTTTTATTTCTTGTACTCACTTAATAACTATATTAAATGCCATACTCGTTGAATGTATTGTTGGTGATAGTGACTTAGCACACGTAGTACACAGTACTCTAGTGTTGGAAACTACTAGCTTTAAAGTCATACTATGAGTAGGGCCACAGACGAAAATCCATTTAACTGATTAATTCTATATGGGATTAAATAGATAAATTAGATTCTCAAATTATATTAAAATTGGGGTTACTTTAATTAAATTCGGATAGTAGCTTTCGTTAAAATCCAGGAAATGTGTTTTATCCTGTTTGAAACTCATCACGCCTGGATACACATGCGTTTTAGTGTGGTTGGTGTTTACACTTAGACTAGAACCAAGTGCCTTTCTCTTTAAATCCCCAGTCATTATTCACTGATATACCAAAGGCAGATAGCTACTAGCTTGTGCAAATGATGGGGTTCATTTGTAACTATTTATGTTTCACCGTCGTTGATCGGATGATTCATTCTACCACTAGTAACTATTCAATTTCAATAAAAATTTGTCAGTACATGGCAATATCGAGGCGATCTGTTCAGAATACTCTTCTGCCAATAATGATAATTAAATCGTTCACCAGGTACTGCTCAACCGTAACTGTTATCTGAACATAAGATGCTTCTCTTGGGAAACCAGCATCTGCAATGATGCTGCCTTTCGAAAACGGAGGGAATAAATCAGAAAAGGTCGACCCTAAGGATATTACAACTCATCCTACCCCACAGATTTCCGTCACCCCCGGTAGTGAAGTGCGGAGCTAAGACATCAAAAAATTTCCACGACCGCCTTCAAGCAGTTATGCCTTGAATTCTGTAGTCATGCACTGAAGTTCATTGGATTAATTAGTTTGATTTTGTTCGTCACTGTAAATGTGCTATAAAAATTTAATTGCCTGTGTGTGTACTGATCGTATACAGAACTAATTGTTCTGATTAAAACAACATTGCTTTTTTTATTAAGCTGATAAATTTGAATGTAAAGTTTTCTTACTAATATGTAGTTTTGATAGAACACTGAGAAGACGGAGTTGATCTGATCTCATTGTTCTATCAAAATGTATACAATGGACTAATTTATTTAACAGGTAGTTGTTCTAATCAGTGGTTACAGTAATGACAGTTCTTACTCACTAGATTTAAAGACCTTTTGCCTTAGAGACTGCTGAAATTGAAGATAATTATTCATTCAGTCAGTCACTTGTTAGCAACGTAGAACCTAGGACATATTTGTCAGTCCAAGTTATCAGAGCATTTCAGCACAATAAGAGATGGTAATATCAATATTATTACCAAATTGGTGGAAGTAGGTATGATATCAGTAATAGTAAAACCAACTGGATATAGTTCACAAAAAATGAATCCATGGAATGCTAATTATAAAGTAACTTTAAAACTCAAAAATCTAATGAAAGACAAACAATGAATGGATCTATGCCATTGTAACTGATTCTGAGACATTTTCTCCAATATCTCCAAATATTGTTAGTCTGGACCTATCGACAATGCTCAGAATAACAACCAATCACTTCATAGACTGTTGTCAAGTTTTGATTTGACCGTTTCTAGTCTTCTTTCGAATTAGTACTCCTCTGCTCCTACTAACATCGGTCGTTGAGGTGTTTATGCGGCAGTTGGTGATACGTAATACACAGTTTCTCTACCTTAATCTATGAGTATTTACAACCTCAGTCGACAGTATATGTCACGAATTAAGTCCAACTTGACAATCTCCGTTTCACCTGTTGCACCATTGTGAACGATTTTGGGCTATGTTTTCTAGAGCATCTAATTATGGGTCGTGACAATCCCATGCATCCTAGCCAAGTAGTTTGCATTTATCTACATGTCTCAGTCCAACAGTCGCTGTCTTTATGGACTGATGCAACACCTTGACTCGGCTTACTCCTAGCTTTCTTCCAGATGACATCGTCTGTTAAGGTAGGCGGTGGTTGGTTACTTCATGATTTCGTCTTTTCTTGTGTTAGTATGTAGATTATGACAAGAACATTTACTTTCTTTCTTTTCAGGTTTCACACCGATTAAAATTGAAATAATCATTGATAACTTTCCGTACGTTCATTAAAGTTTATCGGCTAAATACGCTTTCGTATAACAGACTGACCATATCTCATTTTATGTGGACTGATAGTTTTCTACTCTACCATCTGAAATTTTGAAAAGCAGGCCAATTTGAACCATTGAAATGTTCATGCTTTTTTTGTTCATATTATTTATTCATACGATTTAATTATTCAATATATATTTATTAACTCAGTTCCATAGTAACATTGCAATTGAAGAATACTCTAAATCTAGCACAATTCCACAAATTCAAATCCTTATATTACTTGTCAAATTAGTAACAACCTAGTAATAGTTCATTTGTATTGGCTGTTTGTCTTCCTACTGATATTTAGGACCCCAATTGATTGTTCTCTTTTTGGCATGTATGCATCTTGTGCGGATTGCCTTGACTGATCAGTTGCAGTTCTAAACGTCTGTCCGAAGATTCAAAAAACCAAATACAAATGAACTAAACTTTGCACAAGCATGTGGCTATCTGAACTCACTAGCTAAGTGGGTAACTGAACGGCATTTGAAGCGAACGATATTAGCTTTGACTTCCAGAATGAACATCAACTCTGAGATTCAGGTACATCCAGCTGACGAGTTCTAAACAAGACAAAATGCTCGTCATGGATTTCACTGCTAACCACCATCCATCTCTGTTTGTATCCTAGTAATAATAGCGTCATAATTTAAAACGCAAAGTCACAGTTGATTTTGATTCTTGTTAAGAATAGGCTTAATATTGAATATTGAAATAGTTTTAGATTATTAGAATGAATAGAATGCCTCAATGAACGTGATGATACTAATTGGTGAAGTCGACGCGCTATGCTGACTAGTGTAGGGGATGGTTGGAAAAGAGTTAGGGGCGGCCAAACCTAAACGTTGCATCAGTGCTTGAAGTCACTAACTTCTAGTCTGAGCCATGTTGGCAGATGCAGACTACCTGGCTGGGGCCCGCGTGACTATCGTAGCCAATGGTTGGAGACTGTGTGTGACATGGCTCAGAATCGATCACAATGGCGTAGGTGTATACACTCTTTATCTTCTTATATACAACCTATCTTTTATATACTACCACCACTAAATTAACTATTTCTATGAATCCGATGTTCATCTTGTTGTGCTAACGAGATATGGCAGCTTGGGCCGATGCATATATGTGCCTGGTCCTACGTTGTAGCTGACTGACTGACTGAATTGGTGAAGTGATAACTACTTATACGACCGGATAGCTAACACATACTCGCAAATGAACTGATATCGAAGCAAGACTATTAGTTAGTAGAATTAATTTTTTCTTTAATAAAATAATATGCTTATATAAAAAATCATGCGATTAAATGTCATAAAGGATTAGATAATACCAATTTTCGCAGGTCATTCATTCTTCAATCAATTAGGACTTGAATGTATTAGGTGTAATTCTTACCATGTCACTTTATAGTATCTAACTCATGAGTAACGTGTGGATAACATTGATTTTGTCACTTAATTTCTAATCCTGTTTTTTTTCTAAGCATTTCCTTTCTTTTTTTTAATAATAAAACACGTATGTACTTAGGCTTTCAATGCAATTGATTCAGATTTGTATGCTAGTAGCAGTAGTAGCCTTCATGATATGACTGGTCATGATGATGATAATGATAATGATTTCACAACTCCAGCAGTTCATTGGTTAACTAAAGCATTAAAATTTAATCCACAACATATAGAAGCATGGTGTGAATTAGGTGATTCATGTTGGCGACAAGGTGATCCTTGCCAAGCTGCAGATCATTTTAGACAAGCATTAAAAATAGACGTACGTTTTATGTACTATTGATAAAGTTATTTTAATATACTTTGATTCTTCATTGAAATTTATGTACTACTGCGCGTACATTTTTTTAGTATGTACTAGACAATTCACTTGTTAGTATACAGTTTGATCTAAGCTATAAAACTCAACAATCTCCACAAATCCCTTGCATAAATCATGCTGCTCAATAGTGACTGATTTCAAGACCTAATTCTCATAATCGTAGTGAGAAGCCATGGACAGAAGAGTTCACTTATATAGAGTGTAAGGTAGTTATTTATTAACTGGTCTGGGAGATGAGCAATATCGTGAGTCGACCGGAGTCACCCTAGTAAACAAACCACTAGATGCCTCATTTTTCTACAAATTAAACGATCTCATTGTGACCTCAAGAGCCAGACTTCGATTCCCAGTGGTATGTTCATGGTTATTTTTGAAGAGATTGTACCAACTAGTGCGAGATATCGACCAATAATTCCTGTTTTTCAATAGCTGTCTGACTAAGTTTAGTTCATGTTCTAAACCATAAAGTAATTTGTTATTCGCATACTTTTGTTACAATAGATTAGTAATGGTTAAAACACCCCGATTTTAACCTGTACGTTACAAGTTTGAATAATACCACTAGTAATAATAATATGCATTTATTTGTTTATTTAAACACATAAATATTGGTACAAAGGGGCACCAGATACATATGCGCCACACAAATCTCATTTGATTTGTGTGAGGGCTGTGATACTGTCCAGGTGCCCAAACTGAAGCAGGTGGTTTTCTTAGGGGGCCACACCCGGAGCCTTTGACCTGAAGGTCTAGTCCACAAGGCAGTGAAGCATTGTAAGGAGATGCATTCTCATGGTAGCCGGTGATCAGCGATTGGTTCATATACCATTTGTTCCCTCAGGATATTGGAGCCCATGTACACCATTGGTTTGGAGTGAGGGTTTTCCAACTCTCCTAGGTGGACTTTCCGTGACCACGACCCGGTTGAAGCTCCGAACATTCGCTTTTCGTCCTCTTACTTTCTTAAACAACACCGGTGCCACGAGAAGGCACTGAGTAGGACTTCCCTTGTAGAGGCTATATATTCACGTGGCCATGTGAGAGGATTTGGAGAGGGAGAGCGGACTCTCCCCACTGTCGGCCGTACCAGGGCATTTGGGGGCGTAATATTAATAATAAGAAGAACAGGAATAAAAATAACGAAGGAGATCCATGGTATCACTAGAAAAGAATTCAGTAAATCAAATTTTCTCTTCGACGATTTCATTTGCTTAAGCTGTACAATCGTATTTGTAGTTAATTTTATTTGTTAAAACAATAGTCTGTAATAAAATAGAATGGTGTTGAATAATTAAGTTGTTTGTGGAGAACAAATATCAAAGGGAGTTATATAATAATAGTTCAGTTCTTAATAGCTATCAGGTGGACAGTTATCTCCGTCTTACCACTTCTCACTAGCCGGGTATTACATAACTCCCTCGATATCTGTTTTTCTTTACGTAAACAATTCATGACAGGATGCCATTTCAAGTTTTTTTTGTAATTATTCAGCACTATTCTATTTTAGTACAGACTACTATCTTAACAAATAAAATTAACTACAAATACGGATTGCACATCTTAAACAAATGAAATCGTCGAAGAGAAAACTTGATTCGCTGAATTCTTTTTCAGTGACACAATGGGTCTCCTTCGTTATTATTATTAGTAGTAGTATGAGTATTAGTATTATTCAAACTTGTGACCTACAAGTTACAATCAGGGTGTTTTAACGTATTGGCCGTCTATGAACAGAACAGAACAGACGAGGATTTTATCTTTGAAGAATATACAATCAAATTAGTCGTCTTATTTATTCTGAAATAAAACTCCACACTTAATGCACCATCGTATGTGTTCATATTTATGTTTCTTCTATACAGATCTCACTACATTTCAATTACATATTTACCTATCTATATCTAGTTATGAGAAGATTTTGTTGTCGCCACAAAGCCGAAGAGGTAATGACTTGTTTACGAAATCAGGTGGACGATTTGCGAATTTTCGACGCTTAAACCACGTTGGTAGGTACGGAGGGTCCACGTAGATGAGTTTAAAAACCATGGTCCCAATCCAATTGTTCACATAGGTTCCAGGATCCTGAAGGAACAAAGAGCGTATGAACCTAATCTTGGTTACCAGTCGCCATGGATCGCATCTCCTAACGCTGTTCTACTACCTCGTGGGTTAGGGCCTTATGTCAAAGACTTAGGGAGTAGCCCCATGAGCAAACCACCTGCTTCAGTTCGAGCAACTGAATAGCCCTCACAAAAATTTTGTACGCCCCATATCTATTTTGGTGCCTCTTTGTACCAACATTTATGTGTTCAAATAAATAGATGATAGTTTCATGATCGATGTTTTCTAACCGCTCTTTTTGTAACTAAAATAACTCTTAATGTCATTGAATAAGAAAAAGAGAATTCAGCGAAGAAAATTTTCTTTTCGACGAAATCATTTACTTAAGCTGTACATTCGTATATATAGTAATATGGAAAATATATGTCTATAGGAGGCTAGAAAATATTGCATTATTGCATATTACTCAGATTATTCTTATTATTATGACCTTTGTGTTTGTCACTTTTCTTCATATCTGTCAATTGAACTATTATCTGACCCATAAATTATTTTCTCCCTTACCCCTTGATTAGTACGCCACCTTATTTGTTATTTATTGTCGAATCCATTTATAAGGCTCTTTTTGTCTTTGAAAAGAGGCAGTATCATTCACTGGGTCGTTTAATGTTCCCTTTAGATGTTAATGTTTTCCAATATGATTATAACATTTGGAGTCACAAGAATTACATTAAAAAAAGGCTTGAATAATAGTTTAAATGATTCATATCCCAGTTCAGTTAATAAATTATTTAATAAATATTTCTTTTTATTATCTCTAGCCAAAACATGTAAAGGCACTTTGTAATTTGTCAATGGTATTACGTCAGCCACCTAATACTACTACTAATATTAGCGAGAATATCGATAATATATCATCATATGAATCTGATAAAAGTAAATCTCTATCCTCCTCCTCCCCATCATCATCATCATCATCGTCAGATACATCGATGAAATGTTCCATTTTTCATCAATCTGTTAATTTAGCTCATAAAGCAGTTAGTCAACAGCCTACAAATGGTTATGCATGGTCTGTATTAGGCAATGCATTACTTACTTTATTTTTTAAAAGTTTTAGTTCAACTACTACATCAACTATTGTTTCATCATCTGATCAAAATTCATCAATCAATAAATCTCCACTAATCTCATCATCACCACAACTTATTATGACACGATGCATTGCTGCATATGCACAAGCCGTCAAAGATCGTTCAATTGCATTAGAGCCGAATTTTCATTACAATCGTGGTTTAGCTTGGCATTATCAGGTAAGGACAAATAAATTAGCTGTCCTTTTTTCTCTGTTTTCTTTTTTCTATCAGACGATATGAGATTTTCTTCTGTCAATTAAGTTATGAATTCACTTGGTATTGTTTGTTTGAATCTTCCCATTGATGTGTTAGGACTGCAACTGGTCAGTCTCTAATTGGCATATGTGCATACTGTGCGTATTGCCTTGATATAGCCTAAATTCACAAGCATGGTAAGCAAAGATGGATAGTGGCTAGCAGTGTTATGTATGTGTTTTAATTGAAATTGGTTTAGGATCCGTTTTCTTACCGCGTATTTGTTCATTATTGGATTGTATGGGTAATCACAATATGTGTGTGTTTTCGACTGTTGAACATAATACTAGTGAATCAATAACGCAATTCTCGATTTATCTATCAACATTCACATAATATTATCATTACTAGTCTTTATGAAATAGAGCACAACTCTATCACCCTATATGCGCTTCAGTACAATGCTGTTAAAAGTTACATTCAATTCTACTGTCAGATGATTAGAGTGAATGCGGAACACAGGCTGATATTAAAACTATTATGGTCTTTCTCCTTTACCCTTAACGGTAAATTTTGGTAAATATGAGGAAAAAAGGATAGTGATTGGTTTAAGTGTAATCGAAATAGATTATCTCTGGTTGTTATTACATTTGAAATTGAATCTAAACTAATGACAACATGTTTACATGGTGTTGTTTACTTGTATCTACTCATTGTTATTTAGGACTGCAATTGATCAGTCTCTTATTGGCATATGTGCATCCTGGACGGACTGCCTTGATATTGCCTGAAGCCACAAGCTTTATGAGCAAAGATGGATAGTGGCTATCAGTGGAATCCAGGACGCGCGTTTCGGCCTATTAAGGACTCGTCAGCTGGATAGGTCCGAGTCCCGGAGTGAACATCAACTCTGTGATGCAGTACATCCAGCTGACGAGTCCCAAGTAGGATAAAACGCGCGTCTTGGATTCCACTGCTAGCCACTATCCATCTTTGCTTATAATGACAAGATGTTTACTAGAGTTCATTGTTATTAAAAAAGGTAATCATTAAACATATTATTGGCTTTTATATCCATCTTTAAACAACTATAGTAACTAATTATATCATTTTAAAAGTAATAATGCTATTGGATAACAAGTTCAAGGAGTGCAAGATTGAGGGTGGGGGAAGCGATGGAAAGTTATTTTTATAATACATATGCGGGTGTAAATAATAAATATAAACCACAGTTGGTTTTTGGCGTTATTCCAAAATGTAAATATGATTATTTTCTAATGGGAAAATACAAAAATACCGCAATCCACTTTAATTGGTAGCTGAAAGCTTTAAATTTAAATCACATAGATAGTAGCATACTTGGCAAAGTGAAGTATTGTTATATTGTAGAATGAATGACAATGAGTAATTACTAATCTCTTGTAATGAGAAAGGCTACTAATAATGTAGTAAGCGTCGCCTCCGTACCCCGAAATACCCTGGTACGGCCGAGAGTGGGGAGAATCCGCTCTCACTCTCCAAATGCTCTCACATGGTCACGCGTATATAGCCTCTGCCAGGGAAGTCCTATTCACTGCCTTCTCGTGGCATTACTGTTGTTTACGAAATTGAGAGGACGAAAAGCGAATGTCCGGCGCTTTAACCGGGTTGGCGGACACAGAAACTCCACCTAGGGGAGTTGGTAAACCCTGATTCAAAACTAATGGTGCATATGGGCTCTAGTATCTGGTGCTTCTTTGTACCAATATTTATTTGATTAAAAAAAGTTAGTCTTAATCACTGTAGATCTCCAAAAATGGCTGTGTTATCCCAAGTTACTATACTACATCAGTGCGATTAAATGAAACTCACAAGGTGATTATTCAAGGAATCGAAATAATGTAGTTGTAGTAATGATTATGAGAAAGACTAAACACTGGTAATATGTTAATAATAATGGTATAATGTATTTGTAATATTCCAATGCGTTGAAAAATTAAATTTTCTTACGTTTCGTGATTTAGTGTAAGCCACTTCTTTAGAGAATAAACAAACAAATTAAATTAATCCAAGTTAAAGTATGTTGGGACGGTTTTGGAGAAGCACGACGGAGTCTTCAGAGGCCCTAAATGGGTCGAAGGGTTTCCACCCAATCAGAACTTGATGGAGCATTTTATAATATCAACGTGGCATGCTACAATTGGACGGTAGTAGAACTTTCCTCCTTGTTTATTGACTAAATTATAATGTTGTAAATTATAATGTTGTTATAGCTAACACTACTATCTATAAATACCCATATTTTTCTGTACATTTTTTATTCCTATCCAACAATCAGTTCTGATTTCTCGTGTCTTCTGATTTGCGACTGTGAGGAGTTCTGTACATTCTAGTGCCCTTTAGTTGTATATCATATTCTGCGTTAATCAAGTATAGAAAGTAATTAAGTAGTGCAAAAGAACAAAACAAGAATATCTGGTCTGATCAAAAAACAGGTCTGACCAATTCAGTGTCAAGTCACTTCGATCAAGGTGACTTATGTGAGATACGCTTGTGTATTAGTGTGTGTGTATGCTAATTGATTAAAAATGTAGCATTTGTATGTATAATAAGTTAGACGTGAATAGAATCATACATGGTAGCTCGGATAGAGATGGTCTAAGTCGGATGGATATTAAGGCCTTCTTTTTTATTGAGGGTAGTAACATTTAGCAGTATATGAAAAGCCTCAGCTACTCGCCTTCATTTGTAGTTGGAAAAGCTTTTTTGTATTATTTTGATATTTTTAATATCAACTTGATAGTTATTAAAAATGACATTCACTGCTATTATCGATCTAATTTGAAGTCGTTTAATTTCTACAGGACTATTATGTGGTTTTTTCGCTCGAGGCAAGACTTCATGTGAATGACTCTTCAATGTAGAAGGGATCATAATCGGCACACCCTAATTTGTATACGCAATTCTTATTCTTTATACGAACTAAAGCATTTTGAAGAGTAATATTGTTGAAAATGGCGGATTGGGAAGGAATTCAAAAGTAAGATAAAGAATAAATCCATCCTCACCATTATGATTAATTCTGAACCCTAACGAGAGCTGGTCTATATCTACCAACGCAGCTCACATCAACAGTCAAATGAGTTGTATGCCAACTAAGATCATTCGAGATGAACGCGACTTGCATAAAAAATTTTCACTGAAATATTCATTTAACTGACATGTTATGTTCTCGGTTTCAATTCTCTCTCTCTTTATCCCACATTTCATAGGATTTATTTGGACAAACATTGAAATGTTGGCTGCAGGCTCTTTGCTTAGATCCAGAATGGCCTGCTCCACAATATGGTATTAAACGTATTATTAAATTTATCATGGAATGGCATAAATTAATGAAACAATTCCACAAAAAACAATCAATTCATGTTCACTCTACAGAAATCGAGTCAAATCAAATAGAATCATCATTTGGCACATTAAAGACAAGTCCCATTAATCACGAATCATCAGTTGATTCACAGCAAATGATTAATGAAGATGAGTTTATTTCACCGCTTAGTCCGTTGAAGAAATTGATAGTAACAACTGTGCTTGAAAGTAGCAATACAATGAATCCGGATTCATTTACCAGTAATATTAATAGTAATACTAAAGTTGTCCTCGATCAATCAGATATAAGTCAAAACGCATCATCATTAAATCCCAAAGAGATATCAGCATTAAATCGTCTACTAGGACCTTATTGTCCATTTTCTGACAATGATAAAAATAAATCTGGATCAAATTTCCAAACGAAACGGAGTATTAGTGGTAGTAAGAAGAAAAAACAATTGAAAGCTTCTAAATATAGTAGTAACAACAATAATAATAACGACACTTTAACCAATTCACCAAAGACTAATGACAATCCGTTAAATTCATTGGCTAATTCACATTGTTTACAGTTCACTCCATTCAATAATTTACAAGTAATTATTCAAGTTATTGTTGTTATTATTTTTAACTTGTTGATGTAAAACAATTTCGGTGAAAGAATACTTTACTGATTGACCCTAAGAGGGACTCTTGTGGTGATCTTGGAAAGTGTCGTCTGATTTTAGCCAGTCGGAATGCAGTTGATATAAATGAATAATTTATTACATATTAACGGAAAAGTGGGTTAAAGTTAAGTCTTGCAGTTTGTTTCATTTTAGTATGGAATTCCTCAATAGTCCCACACTAGGTCGTTTAGTGCCTTCATGTTTTCAATGGTGGTCTAACATTGATCGTTTCATGATCCCAGTTAAAAATTGAAATTTTTTTTTACCTAATTTCTAGCTCTGAATCTTAATCCTAATTTCTCATAATGCTTTACAACTCTCTTTTTGACCCTAGTTTGTGGGTTAATTTTCTCAAGGTTACTTTAGTGTCGGCTTACAGGTCGTCTAAAAATTATAGTCTCACTATAAAATTGATATGATTATATGTTGTAGTGTAGTAAAAGCCAGAAAATTAATAAAAGTTATCACTTTCCTGACTTTTAACAAAACTAAAGACCAACAAGATGGCGGGAAAAAATGAGTTCATGAATTATGTATTATTTTATTCATTTATCAAATATTTGCCGGTTTTTTTAAAAAAAAATAAATATTCAACACCATACTAGTCAATCTTTATATACATATATCTTTATCACTAAGACGAACTCAAGCTTTTACCCTAATTCATATTTCACATAATTGTTTCCGTTTTCTAAATGGTTGTTACAATTTTGGTAATCTTTATTACAATTTGTTGTTCATTGAATATCAATTTTCTTGTGCACTGCTACTTTCTGCTTATGTTTCATCGTTTAAAAACATAAATATTGGTGCAAGGGGGCACCAGATGTATATGCTCCACACAATTATGTGAGGGCTGTGATATTGCCTAGGTACCCAGACCGAAACAGGTGGTTTTCTTAAGGGGCCACACCTGGAGCCTTTGACTTAAAGGTTTGACCCATAAGGCAGGGGAGCAACGTTAGTAGATACAGTCCCATGGTAGCCAGTGGCCAACAATACGTTCATACGACATTTGTTACCTCGGGGTGTTTGGGCCCATGTACACCATTGGTTTAGAATGAGGGTTTTCCAACTTCCCTAAGTGGACTTTCCGTGTCCACCAACCTAGTTAAAGCACCGAATATTCGCTTTTCGTCCTCTCAACTTCGTAAACAACTCCGTCGCCACGAGAAGGTAGTGAGTATCGCTTCCCTGGTAGAGGCTGTATACGCGTGGCCATGTGAGAGCATTTCGAGAGAGAGGGCGGGCCCTCCACACTCTCGACCGTACCACAAAATTTGAGGGCATCAAATAAATAAATAAATAAAAATACTAAAATTTGTTGTTCTTTAAATATCAATTTTCTTATGCACTGCTACTTTATTCTTGTGTTCCATCGTTTGAGGATATTGTTAAACTATTATGTGTCAGATTCTATAGCATCTAGTTTTCAGTAGATCCTGTTCATATCTCGACATTTGATAATTAGCAATCTCCGTAGGCTGAACTGAACAAATCGCAAAATATTAGGACTCCTTTAGCGAATAACCGATTACTTTGTTTCAGACATGAATCAATAACAGAATGCCTAGTATTTTGTTATTGTGACTCATAAAAATCTGATTTCAAAGCTGAGTAATTGAACACTTGCAATTCGATTATATACTGAGTGATAATATGAAATGATAATAAATAATGTTTTACCATTTTTTATGTTGTTTCTCTAAAAGTATATCTCTATTTGGCTCAGCATCAGCATTAAGATGTGTGCATCTCTGCAGTCTGGCTTCATACAAAATGAAACTAATTCGTGACACAACTCACTATTCATGTCAGTCAGTCATGTAAAATGTAGAACCTGATACATGTGTGCACCAATTCAAGTTGTGATACCTCATTAGCATAGTAAGATGAATTTGTCAAAGCAAATTCCAGAGTAGTGGGGGTGATTAAGAAGATTAGACACCAAGGATACGATTAGAGAATAAAATATTAATTGATAGATGAAGAAAGTACTTTTGTATAAGGTTATTTAAAAATTTAACTTTAAAGGGAAAGCAAAGAATAGAGGTATCTGAAAAAGAAATAGGGTTAGAGGTGGTCTAAGTGATCTGAGAGCATGACCGCAGTTCCCAAGGGACAACTGCTTGATGTGGGTCACACATGACCTTTTTGTGGGTAATTTTTGTGTTAGCTCCGTTCTTCAAAGGACCTTACCGCCGGAGACGGATATCTGTGGGATGAGGCGAGGTGTGCATTTTTAGGGTCGACCTTTTCTAACCCCACCCCTCCTTGTGAGAAGGCAGCATCGCTGTTATGCTGGTTGTCTGAAGGGAACACTTTACTGTCATCACACTCCTGTACAGTCAGCAGTACGACTTTGCCTTCGGACCTTGGATTTGCTGCCTTTAGTTTCACTGCTTTTCAACCGACCTGTGAGATGGTGACTGCATATACACAATACATATCACAATCATTTCAATTGATAACGTCATTCATATAATTTCATTCGTTCAACATTTTGTTTATTTTAGTTACATTAATTTTTTTTTATTATAAAGAACCACTTGTTTGTTTCGTTTTGCTTTTTTTTAGGTAGGATTAAATAAGAACACCGTATGCATTGGACGTGTATTTGCTGAATTACCTAATGATTCTGATTTAGCATTAAATTTACTTTTAATCGATCCATATGGTACCCCATTTGGTGTACGATTGTATAATGTTGGAAAGGTTAGTATGTTGTTTTTTATAAGATGAAAATGGGAATAATTAGTAATACAAACGATTATTAAAGTTGGATTGTGGTAGCTAACACTGGAATCCAAGATACGTATTTCCTCTTATCTAGGATCTGTCAGCTGGATTGTATTTGTATCTCACTATGTTGATATTCACATTGAGACTTACACTCAGTACTTTCTTGCTTCGAACGCTGGCGTGTTATCCACTGAACTATTGAATCTAACCGGTATTAATTCTTTTTGTAGGGGACTTTTGTTTTTCACCAGAAACGGCAGTATATAGACTATTCCATTAGGATTTACATATGTCACTACAGACTGAACATATACAAAAAATAGAACCATTGACCAACCGACTCAATCATACATTAAAATAGAACCAAGCTTGTTTTAAAGAGCTCTTGGTGGTTGTGAACTTCCGCTCGTCCACACTGGATGCCTATTTCCTGAAGTACCCAAAATCGAGACTGGGTTTGGGATGGCCTTACGAATTCGTAAGTGTGGCCCTAGAATCAAGGGAGGACTGCTCAAAGCCTTTTACACTCGTTGTTTTTTGTCACTAGTTTAAAATGTGTTGGCTCAGGACCGGAAACCGTAGGTCAAGATTAGGTGTTTTTTTTAAGCCTATTAAATAACATTTTTACTATTGCTAAGTAAATTTTATCCATCCAATGTTTTACACCTTGCTTTTTTCCCCTACAATTTTAATTTCAGGGTGTTGGACCAACTCGGAAAGATATCATTGCTATACCTCACCCATTTGTTGAAGAAATTTTAATAGAAGGCTTCGTATTACATGCATGTTTAAATGCATTGTCAATTATAGACAATCAATATCTATCTGATATGATAGAGAAATTTTCATACCTTCGTACATCTACAGCAACTACTACTACTACTACTACTACTGGCAACTTAGTAAGTAGTAATGGTAGTAGCAGTGCTAACTGTACAAAATCTGAATCAAATACTCAATCTTCTAATGATGAAACTACTATTAATCTACCTAATCAATTAATGAATCTTCATATGCGCGTTATACGTGTTCCATTGCCAAATTTTCTTGTAGTTAATGGTCAAACAGTTGGATCTAGTTGGACAGCTGTACCCGTTTTAAAAAATATTTTTTTTGCCTGACTAAGATTAATAGTTTGTATCAGTCTTGTTTATCACTGATTACTTTTCTGGATTTATTACGTAACTGTGTTGGGTTTTTTTGTTGTGTATATGTGTGTGATTTTGTCAAATCTTTCATGAGCTGACTAGTGTGAATGTGTGTGTACACACTAATATATATAGTAGATTGGTGACAGCTCTAAACTTAAATTTTCCGTTCCTATGTACTCATAAGTGTAATATATATAAATACATGCTACTTGAAATAAACCATGTTTACTTCCACAGTTTGTTGTCTTCTCCAACCAGTTCGTTATTGTGATGTTTATCTTCTACAGATTTATTGAGTATCTCAATTATTAAGTTTTTCATTCTGTATACCTGCATATAATGGTTCATGATTGATAGACAACTTTAGGCGTCTATATATATATATATATATATATATATATATATATATATATATATATCTCATTATGTATTAGTTACTGACTTGTAATCAATAAGAATGTTGGCTTATTGATATAGAATATTTGAAATTCTGTCCAGTTAGTCATTAACCTTAGTAAGTAAGTCAGAAATAGCACTAGTCAGACATCAAGCGAATGTTGTCTCCAATAACATAGTTTACTAAGTATAGTTTTAATTATATACACACTAATATGGGTGATGTCACTAAATACCAACATTGTAGATTGTTTACCTTTTTAATTAGAAGTTTGTTTAATTCATATTTCGATGAATGTCTATATATATGGTCTACATAGTTCTGCTGGTCTGTTGAATTCACTGTCAGATCACCTATAATCGATTATTCAACTATTTTTATTTATAAATCAAGTTTGATTAAGAATGTATATACAAAATTGCTTTTTTGTTTGACGATAATTATCCATTGCCCCCAAATGTTCTGGTACAGTCAAGAGTGGGGAGAGTTCGCTCTCCCTCTCGAAATGCTCTCATATGGCTAAGCGTATATAGCCTCTGTTAGGGAAGTCCTACTTAGTGCCTTCTCACAGTGGCTGGGGTGTTGTTTACGAAATTGAGAGGACGAAAAGCGAGTGTTCGGCGCTTTATCCGGGTTGGTGGACACAGAAAGTCCATCTAGGGGAGTTGGAAAACCCTGATTCAAGACCAATGGTGCACATGGGCTCTAGTTTCCTGAAAGAACAAATGGCGTATGAACCAATCGCTGTTCACCGAATACCATGGGAATGTATCTCCGTACGATGCTCTATTGCCTTGTGGATTAGACCTTCAGGTCGAAGACTCCGGGTGTGTCCCCCTAAGAAAACCATCTGCTTCGGTTTGGGCACCTGAGCAGTATCCTAGCCCTTACACAAATCAGATGAGATTTGTGAGGCGCATATGTATCTGGTGGTTCCTTGTACCAATATTTATGTGTTTGAATAAATAAATAAAATTAACCACTTTTACAAGCAAATTGTTATTTCCTGAGACTTCTAAGCTCGCTTCAATAAGATTTAAGGTATTGGAATGGTGGAAAAAATCATCTTCGTTGTTTAATCCGATCTGTTCTATGTTATCGTGTCAATTGTCTTGGTCACATCATATATATAGTGATTGGTTGGTTTGTGAGTCTTTATATATTATGTTCTGCTATCGTCCAGTTCAGATGCAAATACACATTCTATACACTTACCTTATTAGGTAAGTGAGAAATAACTAGGAAACTAGCCAGTAAATCGCATTTACATAAAACATCTGTATACATAAGTATGTACATCTGTTTTTTCTCATCCATACATGGGCATGTTGTCTGAAACCTTGAACCAGGTGCATAATCTGCTTCATCCAATAGCGCTCCACGTTTATATTCCTCCACTTACCTTCTGACCTTAATATGATATGTGAACACAGGCAGAGACTCACGTGGCTTATTATTATAAAAATTAAAACTTATTTAACGACCAAGTTGACTATCGCGAGATGATAACAACCAATGGTTATAGACCTTGAATGATATGGCTCAAAATCGTTTGCAATGGCGATGGTGCATCCACACTTTGTGTTCTGCCAAATCCTAATCTTCTGAATTCTTCATGTCTCTATCTTTTTCTCTTTCCAAATTTATTTTACTGGATTATACTTCTTCAATAACATCTTCAAACCCTAATCTTTCTGATTACTGCTTATACTCTCACTAGTTCTACCACTATGGGATTTGAATCGACTACTTCATCTCTGTATTAATGTGGTATGGCAACTCGAACTGATTTACTTACGTAAGAAGTTCTACGTTGTGACTGACTGAAGCTGACTATTTGATCTGACTGTTTGAACTTAAGGTCATCCAATAACGGCTTTTGTGTACCTGTAAAGATGTACGTATTCCATCATTGAGTTTTACTTCTACTAATTTTAGTATGTTTCTGTATTTTGATGCCAACTACAGTGACATATTAGGAATAATTATTTTAATACAACGTGGGAATTTGTTGGGAGGTGTATTATTATTTTTCCTCAAATAAACTTTTCATAAGAAGGCTGGAAATTGGTAATTTCAGTGTTCCAATATTATTGGGTAAATCTCGGTACTGTTTGTACTAATTCCCCGTGGTGTAAATGTATTTAACCGCTGAACTAAAATAATAATCAAAGACTTGAAGTGAAATGATTGTAAATCGCTCTCTTCACTGATATGTCTCATTCTCTAATTTCACTCACTCTTTTGAAGTTATATGTATATATTACTATAGCACATTTGGTATGTGGTTATCTATAGAATATAGAACCTTCGTTTAGTCCCATTCGGGACTAGTCAGTTAAATGTCACTGTATTTCAGCATTGATGTTCATCTGAGGACTTGAATCCAACCAGCCATAGGCAACGTAAAAGCTGGGCACGTATAACATTGTCACACCATTTATCAGCACAATTGGGTAAAACCATCAAGTAAAATGTTTTATTCTGCTGTGACATTCTAGTTGATGATTGAGTTTTCCAAATATTATCAAAAGTGTGAGTAAAGTAATTATGTCATTTTTTGGTAAAGTAACAGGTTTTATTTTGACCCATAATTAGTGGAACAATAATAACACAGTGGGCAAACTAGGCAAGACTATAATTTATGGACGAGCTAATCAGAAGCGCCTGAAGGATTTCTAGTTCACAGCGCCAATTTTAGTACCTGATGCTCATGTGCAATCGGTTCACAGAGGATTTCAGAGAAAACCTGACAACTAATTAAAATAAATGAGACTACTATGAAATTCTTTTATTTGTAATTGCGCTAATCAATTGACTAGTAGACCTTGGGTAGACTACCCTGATGATGTTATCTTTCGATGTAATATATGTTAGAGGAAGTCTGCCAGAATAGGAACTTTTTTCTCTTGATCCAGATTGAGACTAAGGCAAATTATAATAATTGCCGCGAAGTATATAATAAAAGCACCATTAACATTGGCTGCAATAATCGCAGATGTCACTGAAACTTCGGCTGTTTGGTGGTATGAGTATTGTAGAGACATATCCATAATAAAAATGACAAATTCAAACCGGAGTACACACAACCAATATTGAAGCTACGTGGTGGAGGTCGAGAGGGTTTTTGTGACCTTATCATGGCTCCAGAGACCAAGTATTATGGAGCCATATGGATGAGTTCCTCTGCCTTATGCATTACGATTTTAGAACCTTTGAACCTCTTTCTATCCTTAACAAGTTTTTGGACCACGTAAAAGAGGTGTGTACCCACTCTAATTCTTTGGTTTTGTATAATATATTTTCACTGTATACTAACTGTTTGCTAATATTTCTCAAAGTCACTTAAGATTCGTTCAAAGGCGTCCATAAATTATAGTCTCGCCGCAAACTAAGTAAGTCACGTGATATACTAAGGACTAATGTGAAGTCAAATACAATTATGGATAAGTTAGGGTGAGGAAGTGATCTGTCCATTTAGTCAAAAACCTCGCTTAGAGGTTCCTATAGAGATCAGTTTGTTTACTATTAAATACTTATGTCTATATGATAATACTGTCCTGGATGGTTTTTGTACTCTTCCTGTGTTTGGTTAGACTAATCAAAACTTCGGGAGTGTAATTAGTTGCTTAACTGAATTACAAATAGTGCTATTAACCTGCTGCTATTAACCTTGCTGCTACCTTGACGTGGTGGTCGGGCCTGCCTATCGTGATGAAGCAATCGAGCTATGCTGGCTGGAACAATCGTTCCTCGAGGTCCTACCATGCCAGACAGGTCGGTTGAAGAGCGGTAAGACTAAAAGCAGCAATCCCAAGGTCCGAAGGCGAAGTCGTACTGCCGGCTGTACAGAGGTGTGACGGCAGTAAGGTGTTTCCTTCAAACAACCAGCATGACAGCGATGCTGCCTTCCCACAAGGAGGGGTGGGATTAGAAAAGGTCGACCCTAAAAATGCACACCTCGCCTTATCCCACAGATATCCGTCTCCGGCGGTAAGGTCCTTTGAAGAACGGAGCTAACATTTCAAAAATCCCCCACAAAAAGGCTGTGCGTGACCGGTCTCAAGCAGTTGTCCCTTGGGCACTGCGGTCACACTCCCAAGTCGTTAAGACCAACACTAATCCAACTTCTTTTTCAGGTCCCTCAAGAAATACCCTTCCACGGTGTTGGCAGCCGGGAAGTGATAAATGCCCTCATACCCGTAACAGCACACGAGACCAAGTTGGTCGCTTTCAAATCCTTCCTACACCTCCTAACAACTCTCTTATCTCCACGACTAACCCTTCCCACGTCCTTTTATCACCTCGCACTGCTAGTTCAAACGATTCGCGTACACGGAACGTTATTCCTGGTCTCCTGAAACCTCGCTCTAAACTACATGTAGGAACTTTTAATGTCCGAACATTGTACCAAATAGGACAACAGGCTTCCTTAGCTAGTACTCTAGAATCTTACACCATCGATGTGTGCTGCGTCTCCGAAACGCGCATACAAGATCCAAGTAGCGTCATTCATTTGACCTCACCTAATCAAAATAAAGAACCATCTCGATACACGCTTCGTGTATCTGGAAGCCCTGATGCTGCTTTCCGTGGCCTCGCTGGAGTAGGTATAGCATTAAGTTCTAGGGCAGAACTAGCTCTTTTAGACTGGATCCCAGTAGACAGTCGTCTATGCGCTGTCCGACTAAACGGATCAGTAAGGACTCGGAAAGATAGGGAAACTCGTCGTTGTCTCTTTGTCATCTCTGCCTACTCTCCCACTGACTGTAGCTCAGACGATATAAAAGATGAGTTTTACAGGAAACTTTTTGATCCTCTCCGAAAAGCTAGGCGTTC